TATACAATACCCTTCTACCCTTCTATCTTATAATAAAATAAAATAAAAAATATTAATATCCGTATACCTTACTGATACGTATAAATATACTAACAAATCTATATAAATATAATAATACCCGTTTGCGCAACTTAATAACTAATTAACGTCATTGAACCGTAAACTCTCAGCTCTTTTTAAAAACTTGTTGAGCTAAGATAATTCCACAACCATCTAACTAAAATCAATGAGAATTTAACGTATAAATAAAAAAATTTCATCGATTTTGGTCAGGTGGTTGTGGAAATATCTTTATTAGGGTTGTAATTTTTACGTAATTTTGACGTAATTTTGTGTAATTTTTCGTAAGATTCAGTAAATTGGATTTACATGGAAATGTAATTTTAATCATATGATATGTAAAGTTTATTAAATTAAATTTTTCGTTCGCTAATTATCACATGATGTCGATACGCAATTATTCATTCGCTTAATTATTTTTGTCATATAAAGCATAAAATATAAAATAAAGTAAAATCGAACCTAAAAATTTTATAACATATTACTGTACTAAAAATGGTTAAAAAAAAAAAAAAAGTTGAAATGTGAGATCAATATACTATGCGAATAGAACAAATGCAAATCATGTAGTAAGGAAGTGGCAAAAGATTACAGGAGCATTTGGATATATGTTCTTTGCGAAATTCAACAATAAATGAAGCTTCAAATGGTAATAAGAAATGAAAACAATCAACATCAGATAATAGTAATCATGATCAGAATGAATTGGAATCAACAGAGTAAAAATAATCGCGAAACAAAATTAATATGTTTGCAAAATCTTCATATCGTGTAAATGAAATTATTTAAATAAACGTATAGTATAGCAATTCGTTACATGCTTCATATTTAAATATAACGATATTGTAACGGATATCTTAGATATTCAAATAAATCTAATGAATAAAACTAGGCCAAATTTATGTAATCCTGGTACTTTATATCATGTGACCAAACTTACGTGTAATTCGATTTACTGAAACTTACGTAAATTACAAGTAATTCAAGATTGTAATTTTTGTAACACAACTCTAATCTTTATTCAAAGTTTTAAAATTACATCGCATTATAAAGCTTATCTGAACTAGGGTTGGAAAATTACCGTAATTTGGTGTAAGTTACGTAACTAATAAATCGAAGTTACGTACTTTGATTATGTGATTAATGCTTGCATTTTTTTTAAATATCTGATATAAAACTAGATTTCAAACTGTTTTCAGTATGATTCACATTGGATGACATCGATATATTTGAATCCAAATAGGATGGAAGTGATTTTGGAGAATGTGCAGAATCCGTGTGTTTTAGAAATGTTGTAGATAGTTTTATCTTTGATGAATTTAAATCAGATAAAGAAGTCAATTTTTGGGATATCCCACTATTTAAATTTATCGAATGCGACGAATCAGTTGTACTGCTTTTATTTGGTAAGAGCCTTGTCAATGAAATTCGACTGGTTGACTGGGATAAGGATTTTTGCGCCAAGGTTGATAAAGAAAAGCCTTGACTTTGTGATCCAAAATGGGACTTTGTGAGTGATTCTAAATCCTTCTTTTGTAGTGAATTTAAAGATGGGTATGTAGATCTCGTAGAAGAAAGCCTTGGTTGTGTCGAATTCGGAGTTTCTGAATCAGCGCCACCTAATAATCCACCATGAGCCAAGTAATTTTGCTTTATAACGAGAATAGGTGTATCTATAGACGACATTGTGTTGCCCAAAAGGCGCCTCCAATTGACATTATGTCCTAACCAAATGTCCTGCAGAGTAATACAGCTTATCTTTCTACTATTTTTTGATGGCGAATATATTACAGATCGTGAACACCCAAGAATCGATATCTTTAATCGAGAAGTCACAGGACGATAGCATCCATCTTCCAGAAATGAGCTATTATTATCTGAGTCTATCAAATTTTGAAGGGGAATATCGAGTAGAAAATTCTTGATTAATGCATGCCTAAGATTTATAAAAAAAAAAGGTGTAATTTGTTTCTGTTTGATATCATACATAATATATATTTTTTTATTTATCTACTCCCCTCCTTACCTACCGAGCCACTATCCATCTGTTCATGCAATTTAAATGGAATAAAAACAAAAATACCAGAACCGATAAATCACCTTTGTTTTCTTGAGAGTTATTTGAGACGGCTTGTTTATGGGATTGTTTTTGTTTTCGTGCTTGAGTCTTATGAATTTTATCTAACCAAAAAGTAAATATAAAATTAAATATAAATAAATCCGCATACATTATTATTAATTAAGATTAGAAATTAAAATACCCAATAGCCAGTTAATAGTTTTTTCGGTGTCAAAATAGTAATACCATAATGTATCTTCAATGTCTTTATCAGTGATACCCTCCAATTGTCCTATTACGCTTTTAACCTTTATTTTTCCTTCCTCCATTTGTGCTTTATTCATGTAAAAGTCAAAAATATTCATAAATATCAAAAAATTCAAAGCAATTATATAATGTAACCAACATTACATACCTTTATGCTTTAATGTCATTTCAAAATTTTCTGGAAAATTAAACATTTACGTGCTAATTAACTTTCAGAGTAGAGCTTCCAAATAAGTACATTTACCGTCTCCATATTCTCCACTTTCTTCAAATCCATATTCTTCCTCAAAAATGTCTGCGTATAAATGACAGTAAGAATAAAGTGACATCAGACGGCTTGAATTCTGCAGTATATACAAGTACCTTCAACTTTAATGTTTCTGATGTTTCGATGACGTGACATTGCTGATTGTTATTTAGATCAAACGATCTTGAGTAATTACAAATAATAAAAACTACAAAGCGCGTACTAGTGAATAAACGTTAAATTTTTTAATTTTAACTATTATTAGCCCGAAAAAATCGGGATCATCGTTTGTCCCGTGATTTCTCGCGCTTCGGTGATTTCGTGTCAAATGTAAACAAAGTAAAAATGATTTGCATATAAATAACGATCAAAATTAATTTTTATTTTTGT